AATGACAAAATTAAATATGGGTCAAATTGCGGCCGCGATCTATTTTGCAGTTGGAATGATTTTTTTTCATTTACTGGCCCAGACATGGCTGAGTGGCAAAAATGGAAAATGTGCCGAATCGGTGCCACAATTATTTCGCAGTGTAAATGATTTTTTTTAAATGTTCTATTATTATTTCTGGAAAGAACACGACCTCATCTATGGATTCTCAAAATTTCAGATTTTTTTGCATGTTCGTTCGAGCACAGAAAATCGCCAAAGTTGCCTCTTGCAAAACGCCTATTTCGTTGTGCCTGACCTCCCTGTTTTGAAAAGACGGGGCTCAATGCCTGGGCCTGAGGGCCCTTTCGCAGTTCACATGCCTTCACTTCTTTTTGGGGTCCGATTCTACCCGGGGTCCGGTCCAACGCCCCCCACTTCTTTTTGGGGTCCACTTCCACCCGAGGACCGGTCCTTCCTTTTTCCAAAAGTCCCGGTTCTAGCAGAGCTAGCTGTAGGTAGTCCGCAGTTTTGCTAAGGACCGGTCCCCCAAATTGTTTTGCCCCCTAAGAACCCACTTTGCGTCCTGGTCGCCCGCCGCCAAAAATGCGACACCTTGACACAGACGCGGAAGCACACTATACCGCAGCCTAAGGGCTGCGAATTGTCTACCGCGTGTGCGCAGGGAACGCAACCCTAAGGTAGTCGAAGCAATGAGAGTAAGAGCTCGCACAAAGGGGGGAGAGAGAGAGAGAGAGAGAGAGAGAGAGAGAGAGAGAGAGAGAGAGAGAGAGAGAGAGAGAGAGTTTTGTTCCATTTATTATTATGAGTGTGAGATAGAGACAAAGAGTGAGAGAGAGAAAGAAAGAGAGATAGACAGAGGAGGGGGGGGGCCCACCAGAGAGAGAGAGAGAGAGAGAGAGAGAGAGAGAGAGAGAGAGAGAGAGAGAGAGAGAGAGAGAGAGAGAGAGAGAGAGAGGTGACGGAGAGAGCGAAGGCATAACGTGGGGAGACTTTGGGTGAGGCGACCAGACGGAATCGTAAATCACAACAGTGCCGCACTATAGCGTATGGTACAGCAGCATAGCTTCCCGTGTTGAGGTGAACGCAGCTAGAGAGAGAGAGAGAGAGAGAGAGAGAGAGAGAGACCACCGTGCCCCCCTCCTCCCTCCTTTTTCATAGCGCACCCCCTCCCCCCACCTCCTCCCTCTCCCCTCGCCATTGCCTTCCTCCTCCCTCCTCCCTCCTCCCTTTTCCCTCCTACCTCCTCCCTCCCCTCTCG